TCTACATACGCGAAGTCATATGGTATCTATTTGTAAAAAACAAAATAAGATTTAAGACAAAAGCTATTATTTGTTAATTTAAAAAAGATTTAGAGACTAATTATAATAGACATTTTGAAAATTTGTATATAGAATAAGTTAGAGAGTAGTTCAAAGACTAAAATAGATATTTCGAAAATTACCGGAATGAATAATGTTGATGAAAGTTTACCGCCACTGTTTGATAACATTCCATTTTGATTTATTTTTTAAAATTTAGCCTTGAAAAATTCTACTTCATGTATATGTTTACTTGTTATATATATATATTTTAAATAGTTTTTAAAATCTAAGATAAATTTTAAAAACTAAGAAAAATAAGTGGTTTTTTTCTTTTGTTTTAAAAGTTGGTTAAAAATTCAGTAGAAAAATTAAAAAAAAAAAAGTGAGAAACCAAGCATAACTTTCAAAAATAGAAAACAACAACGGAAATGCGGAAACGATTAGAGATAATATCTTGGATGAGCTATCTTGGAAACTTATCTTCACAATTGTCCAATGTTTATAAATTTTACGGTCTTAGATTTTTGGATTTAAAATTTTTTCCAAATACCAAATTTGCCCTTATTTAGGACATTTATATTTATTATAATTAGTCTTTTATTTAAATGCAAAAGATTAATATTCCAAATTTGATTTTCTAAACATTAAATTATTGTGGGACCTAAATAATTATATATATATATATGGAGATATAAACTATATCCAACTACCTTTACATTTATATGGAAATATAAACTATGTCCGACTATAAACTTAACAACATAGACTTCACAATGGTGATATAAACTATAGCCATTATAACATACACTTATATGGAGATATAACATATATCTGGCTATAAAGTATATACGACTATATCCCTCTACAATTAACCAACAAAGCAAATAACCTACAAACCTTCCGGCTGGCGACTAGACAATGGTCGGGATAGACGGAAGGCTCAAATGGTCGACGGGCGGCCGGCGACAATAAAGAAATCTCGGGATAAACGAACGGAAACAATGGACGGACGGTTGGAGACGAAGGAAAAGCTAGACGGAATGTAACCTCTAAAATAACAAATTCTGGATTTTAAAAATTAATTAATATTGTGGTGTAGATACAAAAGGATATATTAGTAAATTTGGTGATGGGTACTATCGGGATTGTTTCACAACAGAAGTGTAAATTTTATACCTTTTTATGTAATTATAGTCTCTAAATAGCCTAATGTACTAATCCCAGACGATTATCATAAATGTGTGCGCAAATGAAATTTTAACCCCAAAAAACAAAGAATAAAACTCTTCCATTTCGTTTTTTTTTCTGGAAAATTCTATCATTTTTTTAAATACGTTAAATCATCGATTTTACCCAAACGCTTTAACTGATGTACTGTTGTGGTAAATTTGACCACGTATAGATATCTCAACACTTGCCTTCATTGTAAGCTTGAACATTTACCAAGAGATCCAAGAAGTGAAAATTAATATTTAATTGAAGCTTTGATACTATCTTAAACGAGTTAAATTATGAATGAACAAAAAAACTTAAGTTATGGATTAAAATAAATTCGACAATGCATAGATGTATTTCAAAACTTTTCCATAATTAATTTCCCTTTTTGTTGATGTTTCTCTCTCTATAAATAGAGAAATATGTAGGAAAAAAAAGTGTTGTGTCGTTGTCGATGAAGCCTCGAGATAATAGATTTTGAATAGGCAGCAGCAGAAGCTAGCTTATGCCCTGCCCTCATCATTCCATCAAATATTATGCGGTCGGAATAAACCCCACCACATGCACTCCCAACAATCTTTAAAACCCTAAACCGACCCCCACCCCACCTCCCTTTTCACTTTATTTAAAGATGCCCGACTTACAATTATTTAACAATCTACTCGTCCTCTTCGAATTGATGAAATTTTTTTTAGAAGATATATGCCTTAATCTAGTTGTACTGCTCATATTGGTTCCAACTTGTTGATAAAGAATCAAAAGAGATTACTTGATAGAACATGCAATAGAGTCAGTCTGTCGATTGGTGCAAGCAAGTGTAGCGAATCACATACGCAAGCCCCTACCTGCCAGCGTACGAATAGATAGGACGGACGAAGCGCGAAGGAGAATGGATGTCTGAGCTGTTGAAAGAGTCGATCTTGAAAATCGAAGTACTGATGGAAATACTGGGGGTTCGAATCCCTCTCCATATTCAAGCTTTTGGGTTCATAGGTGGTGTAATCATGTTTTTGAAATCTTGTATTCGTGAGAGGAGTAGTCCATGTATTATATACTTTTGTTAAGTCTCTTATCTTTTCAACGTGGTATCCTTAACATGTTCTTCAAAATTGTAACTCTTTTTGTTTCATCGATACTGAACATTTTGGATCCTGATATATATCATATTCATAGACTTCTATCCTTAAACTAATTGGCAATGCAAAAAGTATAGTTATAAATCCTCATCTTTTCATCGTGGATCTTTAAATAATAATATGCTGATGGTTGTCAAATATTACATAAATAGCAACTTGAAGAAAAAATGATGAACAATGACAAAAGGTATAATCTATATCATTAAGCGAGTAATATAATTGTTAGTTAAAAAAGTAGGAAGTTTGAACCTTTCACCGTTGTTATTCAACTCAAA